GAGTGGCTCAGTGGGTTAAGCGGCCGACTTCAGCTCAGGTCATGATCTCATGGTTCATGAGTTCAAGCCCCGCATCGGGCTCTGTGCTGACTGCTCAGATCCGGGAGCCTGCTTCAGATTCTGTCTCCCTCTCTCTCTGCCCCTCCCCTACTCATATTTTTTCTCTCTCTCTCTCTCTCTCTCTCAAAACTGAATAAACATTAAAAAAAAAAACAACAACAGTGAAACCAAATAAGGTGTATGCTGTATAAATGGTAAAGGGAATTCAGAAACCTAAGAAACAAAACTTAATATTTTAAATATATTAGAAGTAAACATACTTTTTAAGGTTGTATCATAAATCACTGGATAAAAAATATTATTCAACTAATGGTATTGGTATAATTAGTTAACTACTTGGAAATAGAGAACTATGTCTCATATCAAAATTAATTCCAGATGGATTGAAAGAGTCACGAGTAAAAAATGAAGCCATAAAAGAGAACAGTTTCATCAGATCTCACAACAGACAATACTTTTTAAGCAAAAAAGAAATGGAAGAAGCCATGAGAACTTCTAAATATCAAAAAATACACAACAGACAAGCTAAAAGACCAACGACAAAGCAGGGAGAAGATGCAATTAATATGTAAGAAAAGTAAATATTCCTAATACATAAAAACACTCTTAAGATTAAGCAATTTTCTGCTAAAATTACATATTAGTATTTCCATGGAAAAATGAATAAGGAATATATAAAGAATTCACAAGAGCTTGAGATTGTGAATTGTCCACATTTCTTTAGAGCATTAGAATTTGCTTTGGAAAAAGGGGGGGGGGGGAACTTTTTAAAGTTACCACATAACTTTTTAAAAATGTTTTGGTTATTTTACAAACTTCCTGGGATGAGGAAATGAAAAAACTTATTTTACAATGATAAACATTAAAATAATAAGGCGTGACTAGTCTGGAAAACTAAATACTTTGAGATTCCAACTCTTCCTCCCTTATTTAAGTAAGGAGATGCGGGGGGGGGGGGGGGGGGGGGGGGGGGGAATACCACCCATGCAAGAAACAAGATTCATATTACACATATACTTGGCAGGAACACCTTTTAAACTGCAATCCTGATGTCCAAGCCTGATACCCAAGAGTTCTGTAATCTCTGTTCTTACCTTCCCCTGGTCTACCAACATCCTGCAAGCCCAGATAAAAATGCCATCTCGTCCATGAAGCGCCCCCTTACCACTCAACGGTGGTGAAAACAGCACACCCTCCCTTAACTTCTGCACCAAATGTCACCTCTCCCTGTTTGACAACTCACTTGCCTTATCCAACCTTACTCTCCGCCTTTCTCTACGTCCCTGCAGCCTACCCAAAGAAATGAGAATTCAGCTTTCCCTCCCCCACAGAATCCAGCACCTAACTCCACACCCAGGAGACATCTGTCAGAGGATGAGAGAAGGAAGCCTGTGGCTGCAGTGGCACCAAAAATGACAAAGTTGACAGGTACCCTCAGCTACTGTGCAGGGTCACCTATCCATCATCTTCACACTACCTGGCCAGGAGGGTCATAAGCCACGGTACTCTGGCATGTCACCTCTGAAGCTTGCGGCATGCAGAGAGTAGACAAAAACCTGAGCGGTTCTTGTTTGGCAAGTTGACACAGAGCAAGCCATAAATGGGATAATAAGATAAACTGCAACCATGTAGGCCAGGCCCCTCTCGAGGCATGGGAAATACACTATCAAGTTCATTTAATCCTCACAAAAACCTTCTGAGACAGGGGTCATTAGCCTCATTGTAAAGATCAGCAAATTGAGAGCTGGAGACCATGAATGCCCGAATCCACACAGCTAGCTTAGGGGCAGAAATGGGATTCAAACAAGAAGGAAGCAGGTCTTCCTGAAAGACTTTCCTGGCACTCCAAGTTGAGACAATAGGGCATGTTCCAGAGCACCTATGCTTACCTCAATTATAGCACTTTTTAGTGTTTTGTTTTGTTTTGCATCTCCCCCACACCCAGAGTTGACCATGTCTTGAAGGCCAACTAGTGTTTTAATTCATAGTTGTATACTGGGACTCTTCCCTTACGATAGGTGCTGGTAAGTGTTTTATAACTAAAATGAAAAAAATGTAATTAAGTCAACATTTTTTTCTGCTTTGTCAAACATAATTTGAGAAATTATTTAAGTAGATTTGCTTTTCACTCATATTCACTCACTGCAGTCATTTACAGAATCTCAGGAAGTCAACTTTTATTAAATATTTAGTCATTAGATACAATCTTGGAAAGAAATATAAAAGAAATTTGGCACAAGGGTCTCTGAAAGGCTGAGGCTGTAAGTTATAATATATGAAATGAACATCTTTTTCAACCCTTCTGGTTACATTTTTTTATTCCAGTGAATAAAATAGTAATTGGCTCTTTCAGACTAGCATTTGAGTTGGCTCGATTATCAGTAGTTTAGTTGCATCTGTTTGATATTTGCATGCATGCTGCCACCTGCATGAGGCCACATTTTCATTACTGGATTGTTCCAATATCTACAAGAGAAATCTTACATTCTCCCAATGTAAGTCATAGCAAGTTGGGGTATTTCTTACAGAGTTTACACAACGGCCTACTAGGCTCCTCTGTCGTTCGGTGCCCATACTAGTTTCCTAATTTGACTAAGTGGCTAATTCGACATTTAATGAGCAATGGCTCTGGATAAAGTGTTGTGCAGACACTAGGGTAAGTGACAAGCCCCTGGGGAAAGGAAAGAGCTGCAGAGGAAGTAAAAGCTGAGTGAGGCTGTGAAGGGAACTCTGAACAGGAACCTCATGTGACACAGCACAGAAGGACCTGTGTCCTGCGACGAGAAATGGAATTTTTCCAACAGACAGGAGAACCTGGCAAGCATGGAAGAAAATCAGCAGAACCTCCAAGAACCAAGGAATGAGCCCAAACCAAACAGATATGACGGAAGGAGAACAAATCCAAATGGAGGCCAACAGTAGAAAAGAATAGCTCAGGGCTTTTAAAAAATCCAGCTTGCAAAAACCTAGCAGTTCAGACATATTAAAACCACAAATTAAACACGTCACTGAGATTCTGGAAACCCGAGAAACTAAGAGTGAACAGAACGGAAACAGCTCCAGTTGAAAGGCAGAGGGTAGGACACACCAGGTGGGGAAGGAGAAGAGAAAGAGAAGATCCACATTCTAACAAGGAGATCTGAAACATTCTGCTGTGGTCAACTTTTAAAGGCTTTTTTTTTTTTTTTCTTTAATCCCCACATAAAAACTGCTTTTTTAAAAAGACCTTTAACTTACATAAAGTTATTTTTAAGTGTCCCAATTAACGAGTGAATAAAAATATAGGTTTGTCAAAACATGATGAAATATTCAAGAAGTACAGATGTAGAAAACCAAGGATCCAGATTACAAACCTTTATACAAACCCTCTTCTAGAATTATCAGTGGAATAGGTTATTTATCAGATACTTTATATATTAAGACAAGAGTGGAGGCCGGTAGTAAATAAAAAAAAGCACAGCCTTTTTCTCTTCAACACAGAACAATCTAGATTTAAACACTGAACGTCTAGAGACAGATGCTTACATAGCACTATATAACCTAGAACATCACCATTCTCTATTCTTTAACATATAAAACTTTGAGGAAAAAAGGCCTTCTCCCTGTGACCCACAAGGACTTGCCTCCTCAAATAGTATCCATAGTATGACAGCCAACACACATACTGTACTGAACAAGAACATATGATAAATCCTTCACAAACTTAAAGACAGTGAACAATGAAGGAATAAAAAAAAAGGGGGGACTTCAGGATGGAATCTGGCCATGAAACAACTCAAGGCATAGACTAAAATTATTAAAATAACTTCTTTTAACATGGCAAGCTATTCTGCGAGGTGCTTGCTGGAGATATACTCTGAACAAGTACAACATCAGAAACAGGAAAAGTTTTAGAGGGAGAAGGAGTCAGTCAATAGAAAATTCAAGGTTAGAAATTTATAAAAACTCAGTAGGGGGGCACATGGCTGGCTCAGTTGCTAGAACATAGTCTATCAGGGCTGTGAGGTCAAGTCCCACATTGGGCATGGAGCCTACTTAAAAACAAACAAACAAAAAACAGTAGGGTGGATGGCAAATAAAAAAGAAAATATATCAAGTCATATTCATTTTCCATTTCCATAATATAATCCTCACTCACCACCACCATCATCCAATTAATAAGAAACGGACACTGTTTACATTCAGTACCTGCTAATGAAGTGTTAGAAAACAAACAGTCAAGGTGTTCGAGCTTTAAAACAGCCTAAAGAAGACAAGATCAGAGAAAACAGAATCATAAAATACAAAGTAGAGCAGTCAAATCCCCAAATCTCTCTTTTTACAGATAAGGAACTATAAAGCCAATTATCTGCCCAAGGTCACAGGTGTGAAAGCAGACCTCCAGTGTCCTGCTGCAAATCCAGAAGACACAGTCAGCTTCATGGAACTCAGCAAACAATCCAGGAAGAGGACTTAGAGGGTGCCTGACTAATCTCCTCTGAAAACATAGCCCTTCATTAAAGAGGTAAAATAGTATGCTAAAAGGAAATGTATCTAATATTTTAACAAGTCACAGGAGAAATGATTCTTTAAATAGCAACTAAAAAGCTGGCACTCTTTGGGCCCATCTGTATAGCTACAGTCATTGAAGCCACAAAGTTTATTTGTACAAAACCATTTTAATATTTTGCTTAGGAAGATGAATAAAAAAAAGCTTCACAACCCCAAGCCACTGGTGGGGAGGAGGCAGAATCCAAATGTAAAAACTCTCTTCCCTACCTAAAAGTGATGTTATCCTCTTCCGGGCCAAGCCAAAAAGAGTCAACACATGATTGTTACTTTTTGTCCCTCAGGTGAATGCACAAAATTCAGGAAACGTTGGTAGAAATTATTTCTCTGGGATAATTTCAAAGCTCATTAGTATTGGAAGTTGCTAAATATATCTCAGGCTCCCTGTGGTAAAGTCACCAAGTTGTTCCCAGAAATCCTGGCTAACTTCCAGATCCTTGAGTGCGGGCTGTGGTTCACCCACCTCTGAATCCCCAGCACCTACCTATAACAACACTGGCGTGTAAGAGAAGCTCAGTAAATCTGTGTTAAATTGAAGGAAATTATGTCCCCAAAACCTAATATTCTCTTCCTAGTTTCAATGGCATCATGGTGTAGCAGCATTTCTAATCTTAAACCCTCACATAACGCTACACTCCTCCATAAAACTGAGGCGTATGAGGAAATCAGTGTACTCCCCACAGAGGTAAGATGCTTCTATTCCGAGTGCATGTGAGGTCTGGTTAAAGATATTTTCAAACCTCTATATGGGAAGGTGTAGCCAAAGATTGCTAGAGGTTTTACTATCCCGTCCAGGTGTTTTTGTTTGGTTTACAATTTCATACCCCCCAAGGGGAAAAAGCACATTTACAACATAAAACAACAGATGGTTTACTCCAGCATCTCCTTCCAAGCCGCCAAATGCGAATCAAGAGTACAGTGAAGCAGCAGAGGGACGTCCATGTTCCACGTACAAGTGTGCTCAAATTAGACACAAACCTTTACGGCTCCAAGTTGCTCTTTTCTGAATTTTTCCAAAGGTTTAATCAGGGTTTCAGTTACACTTAATGCCTAGAGAATGAGAATGATAACAAAAGAACATCGTATTAGGTTTCCAAAGAGGAAAAAAAAAAGTCAGTATTTCATTTCCCTCTTCCACCCCACCCAGAAATAAAATGAACAACATATTTTAACTACTTTATCTCACGCTGCCAATGCAACCATCAAATGACTTCTAAATTTATTAACACACTGGATCTCCATAAATATTTTCAGGGAAGAGGAGGTGGGGCAATGTGCCAGGGAAATGTGCAACAGTCCCAACACAGCTCTTTCTTCTGGGAAATAGCAAGCCGGTTGTCTTTAAACAACAAAGGGGTCTATCACATTCATTAACAGAACACTTCTGTTGGAGATTTTTTTCCCTCCCCCTCCTCAGAAATTTACAAGTCAATTACATTCCTTTACTAGTGATCAGACTACATTATGTAAGGACTCAGTTTGTGGCTACAAGTTTACACACTCAGTCTGACTGAAAATTACTCATAAGGATTGAAGGTGTATATGCAAAGCAGAGTCCCTGGAGCTCACAACAAAGTAAATACTGGGTATGCTGGCAAACAGTACAGAAGGAGGTCAATGTGGTAGGAGCCATATACACACTCCAACCACTCGTTCTTCTATTGGCTGCTTTGGGGCTTTTCCTTTGAAGACAAGAACATGCAACAAACAATGCTGAAAATGAAAATCACAGGGAATATTTACCGAACGAAAATGCACTGAAGAGTATGCAGGTGAGTAGTGGTCTTCTCACCCTGTATTTCCGGAAGATCAGAAATACCCAGAATAGAAAAGGAAACTTCACAACACTTTACAAGGAAGTTTCATGCCTCTTTTTACACACACACACACACACACACACACACACACACACACACACACACACAGGCTTCCAGAAATCCAAGCTTTAAATTACAGAAAAACTAAGTTACTTAGAAAAGTAAAGGATTCTGAATTTAACCAAAAGCTCCTTTGCAATATTCCATTAGATAAGGATTTCTCCCAAAGAAATCCTCAAAAAATGACTATGCCTACTCAAGATAGGGAATCCTCAAAAAATGACTATGCCTACTCGAGATGCCTAGAGTTCAAACTCTCTTCCCCAGGCCACAAATTAGGTTCCACTCACTCCCACTCTGAGAATTTATAACTTAACTATCAAGGCGCTGGGCAACAGAGAACTAAAAGAAAGAAGAGCAACAACTAGTCAGGGGAAAAGGATCACTTTCAAAATACTACATTCATTTTATCCTCCCTATGTTGTTGACCATGTGACCTACAACAATGGCAAACCAGAAAGTCCTTTGTCCTAAAGAACAGAGCAGGGACAAAGCACATGCCAGGAATCCCAACTACTCAGAACAATATGGAATGCCTCCAGCAGATATGAGAAGTTCTGCCATACGTTTTTAAAGGGATCCATCTGACACACAACATCTCACAATAATTTAAGGCGCATTTCTATTAGCACCAGTGTCACTGCCTAGCCTATTCCTTTTCCGAATAAACCTGTATATAAGTATGTATATAAATACATTCTCCAGGGTGGATGGTCCACTCAAGAAAGAAGTCAGCCCAGCATGACAGTGCTGGGAACACAGAGGCTAATAAGTGCTCAAGTTCACAGAAGATAGGAGCAGAGATTCAAAATCATGTAAGTCCAAGCTTAACCTTAACCAATGTACAATATTGCAATGAAGTACCAAACAGGACTTCCCCTTTCCAAGCAGTCATCCCAATAAACCCTGTATTTCATGAAACAAGTATCTGCTGAGCATTCAGCACCAGGTACTGGAGACACAACTATGAACAAAGTAAAGTACAGTCCCTGCCCTCCTGGAACTTACTGTCTAGCAGGGAAGACATGATGCATACGGGAACATGTAAGGAAACGTGTAGCTGCAAATTCTAGTAATTCCTTCGAATGGTGAAAAGAACTAAGGTGAGGAATTTAGTAGAGGATTTATAAGGAAAAAACTACCCAAAGAGAGCTCCATCCAAAAAATGACATTTAATGGCACAAAAACAGACACTCAGATCAATGGAACAGAATAG